AGTTTTTATTGGGGATTGTGGTCTGGTGCATGTGTCCTTTTATACATCCAAGAAATGGTCAGAACAAGGACAGGGTCCAGGTGTCCCTCATAAGTCACTCATTCCCTGAAGCCAGGGGTCTTGGTGTCAAGGTGTTTGGAGTTAGTGGTCTGGGAGAACATTTATGTCGACCCCGCCCAGTCACTCCTTAGATGTTAACTATTGTGCTGGAAAACTCCGAAGATAGCATTATCTCTTTGAACTTTACAAGGAGGACTTGTGCTATTTGCATTACAAGGCATGTGTAGAGTGGGGTGGGCGTGCATGCCCTAGCAATAACAGAAGCTGGAGCAAAGGGAAAAAAATGGCTTTTTTTAATGGGGTCCCTTCAGTTTCCCTGTCTCAACAGGAAGCAGATATTCCCAGCTCAAAGGGTATTTACAGAAGATGGAGACTTGACTGTAAAGGAAATTCATGCACTCTTTCAACATGCCCAATGCTAGAATTTGGAGAATGGCCATAAGATCAGGATCAGAAAACAGTTTTTTTTTTTTTTTAAAGATTTTTTCATTTATTTATTTGAGAGAGAGAGAACGAGAGAGAGCACATGAGAGGGGGGAGGGTCAGAGGGAGAAGCAGGCTCCCTGCCGAGCAGGGAGCCCGATGCGGGACTCGATCCCGGGACTCCAGGATCATGACCTGAGCCGAAGGCAGTCGCTTAACCAACTGAGCCACCCAGGCGCCCCAGAAAACAGTTTTTGTAATAACATTCTGTGAGAATACAGTCACATTTTATTTGTTTAAATATTGTTTATGGCTCTTTTTATGCTTTAGTGACAGAAATGGGTCATTGCAACAGATTGTATGGCCCACAAATATTTACTTTCTGGCTCTTAAGGAAAAAGCTTGCCTTACCCTGACTAGAAAAAGATCACTGCTTAGGGGTACTGCCTATAAGGGGACAAAATGAGCAGATGTAGCAAATAGTCTGGTCTGGACACAATCAAGGGTGCCTCAATCATGACACCTCTCAGTATTTTCTCAGAGTAGTAGACTAGGACACTATGGATCAAGAGGAGACACTGAGACACTTTACTTACATTTTCATCCCTAAAATGGGATGGAGCCAAATCTAATGGAGGAAGATCTTCCTGAAAAAAAGAAACAAAGACACTAAAAGAAGAAAAATTGGAAAAAAAAAAAAAGTTAGTTACAGTCCTGAGGCATTATGACTTAACCAAAATTTGGGACCCACCAATATGACATGTATTGATAAAACAGAAGTTTATTTTGAAAAGGGAGAGATTACAGTAAGTTCCTAATGTCCCTTGTGAAAAGGCCATTGAACTAAGAGAGAAAACCAAGAAGAATATTGAGAAATCACAAAAGCTTATGTGCAAATTGGCAACTCCTACTGGCAGAACATCAAATCCTCAATGTGCTTTAAAAAAGTTGTCAAAAGGCAGAGAATGTTCTGGGGCACCTGGGTGGCTCAGTTGGTTAAGCGTCTGCCTTCGGCTCAGGTCATGATCCTGGGGTCCTGGGATTGAGCCCTGCTTAGTGGGGAGTCTGCTTCTCCCTCTCCCTTTGCCCCTCCCCCTGCTTGTGCGCTCGCTCTCATGTGCGTTCTCTGTCTCTCTCAAATAAATAAATTAAAATTTTTTTGAGACAGAGAATGCCCGGAAGAAAAAGAATGACTGGTTTATGTCAATCTTGTCTAGATTTTGGAAGACAATGAATGTTTTCAGAAAGGTCATGAACATGAAATATTAACACCAGAATCCACAAGATGTATAATAGTCAAGCCACAGGCACTGAAAGACTAGGAAGTATGTTCTCGTCTAGCGCCCACCCATTGTCATGGATATATTCCAGAAGACTCTAGACTTGGACTTTAGCTATAAAGAAGCAGCAGATGATCAGTAATAATTGATGTAACAATAAAATTTGACATGACAATTTTCAGGATGAGTCATGGCTGGCCCCAAGGTCCAGCAAATAATGGGTATCCTAACCAATGGGGTCCTCTTGGCACAAATGCAGAATAACTCCTAGTATTCAGGGAGTAAAGAAAGATCCTGTAACTGAAGATCCAAAAGCTGATCACAATTTGGGAATGCCATGTTCAACTTATTTTCCATTCCTGTCATACATATATGAAATACGGAAAAAGATGCTGGGCTACAATGAACAGCAAGGAGTAAACAGGAAAGAAGGGGAGAAGGGAAAACAAATTTGAACTGTATAATTATAAATATCTATGTGTGCGATGTAGTCTTTGTATATCAGCTATCTGAGGGCCCTCTCAATACCCTCAAGGGCTCTTTAAGGTTGTCATTTGAGTCCCATATCTCCTCCCCACAGCATCCCTCCTTCCTGAGCTATCATAGCTACTCTTTGTCATAGTTGGTTACTGGCAAGGGAATGGGGGAGGGCCATAGTTGGTAAGTATGTATGTATAAAGGTGTGAAGTGGTTCTCTCCAACCTTAGGTCCTAATAGTCCTTCTCATATTGCTTGCTTCATTCTCCTTTTCTCCAAGAAAACAAACCATTATGGCAATTCTGAGAGAGAGAGAGAGAGGGGTACCTACAAGTGTGGGACCTACAGGAGATACTACACAGGTAGATGAATGTGTCTTAAGTAAAACTTGTTGGAAGGGCAGTGGTGTGAGAAAAATAAGGCGAATTCATAATTTATTCTACAGAATCCAACAGTAAAATAAACTAGTTCCCAGTGTTTCTTAGAGTTAAGAAGAATGAGAGATCACTAGGAGAAGGAGAATCTTTTATTTGGTGCAGTTAAAAAGACATTAATAACCTCCTAATGGCGTGGGTTACTGTACTTATTTAAATACTTAGTTCAAATTTGAGCCATGCGACATCAATTAAAATATACGGTAATGAGTATAATTTGCAGTCCCACACTGAAGGTATAAAAATGGTATAGTTTTTCATTTTTAAAAAATGGAATCAAATTGGACACCTACCAGATTTGATGGAAAATCTTGGTTCCCTTATTTGCAGATTTGTCTTCACTCTTCCTAGGGGTCTGCAAATTTTTGGAGGCTTCTTGGTATCCACGAAAGAGGTCTGTGAGGTGAAGATGAACTCTCTTGCTCCCTCTTGCCCCAGCGTCTATGGCCATTCGAGGGCAGGTGGCTTCCCTGGCAGCAGCCTCTCCTTCCCATTGTCTAGTCCCCAAACACACCCGCAAAGCCACTTTTGGTTTGCCTGGGATCTTCAGTGGAGCCAGTTGCCGAGGATACATTCTTTCATTCTCTCAGTCTTACGGAAAGCAGTTTCAGAATGGTTCACACGGCTTTTCCTTCAACCCTTGGAGGCCTCTTCCTTATTTTCCGTTAGCATTCTGTGCTGCTCTAGGGAAGGCAGACTGTCTTTTTCCTCTCCCTTTCTAAGTTCTAGGGCAAAGGCCTGTAACAAAAGACAGATTAACAAGATAAAAGCATAATTTTTTTTTCTTTTAAACACAAGTTTTACATGAGAGAGGAAACTTCAAAAGGAAATGAAGACCCAAAGAAGCAGTCATACCTGAGTTTTTAATGCTAGGCTTGATGAAGAGTGGGCGTTTGTGGGAAAATGTGACAAGGTAACAAAGGGTCTGAGCTAAGTGTAGTGAACTAGGGGAAACAGTAAGGCCTATTTCCTTGCATTCCTCTCAGTGTCTTGGAGATGAATATGTATAGGGAGGGCACCTCTCACATGAGGGTTTCATGACCTGCTTAGGGGAAGGTCAGAAAGTTCTTCTTGCACATGCCGTTTCTCAAATTCCCTCAGCTTAAAATATTCACTATGCCAAGGTGCCATATTTTAGTGTAGTGTGTGTAGTCCTGCACCCCATCACTGCCAAGAACATCAGTTTTTAATAGCTTAGTTATCATTTTTCTGGCATAAGAGAAGCCAAGGCTTAAAGTTCTGCTTATCTTTCATGTTATACAGATCCAATGGGACTAAGGTGGAGAGTGGTAAACTATCTCTTTATTCTTGTGGGGTTTTATAAAATACATTTTCTGGATACTCTAATCTGCCACATTACATACTGCCAATTGAATTCTCAGATAATGCCATTGATGTGCTTTGAGACTTTGTAAACAAACAACAAAGTAAGAGGAATGTAGTGAAAGGAGATGGGGAACCATACTTTTGTCTGGTATGGGACAAGATAATTGAGTTTACAGTTCTGCTTTTCTCTCATATTGAACACACTTTCAAAATGACTTTCTAAATATAAGCAGCCCGCTATGTATTTGTCTGTAAAAGCATCAGCAATGAAAAAACAAGACAATGGAAGCAGAGATCTGGGTGATTGGCTCTTCATGCTGGGTCATTGATGGGGCTGACATGCACCGAACATGTTTAGTCTTCGAACATGGATTGGTTTGCTAATAAAACTGCATTTGTTACTGTCAAGGGAGAGTTGTAAGATAGATAAATCTACTAAAATTCTGATTTATTTGACTAAGACATAAATACAGAGAACAATCTGCCTGCATATATATTAATATGTGTATAGAGATATAGAGTGAAAAAATGTATAAATCCAATATATCTACTTCAGATACGTAAATACTCATTTAGATATTTTTTATTTGCCTTATTTATAACACCAGTTACTGCAGAGGGTTAGTATGTACCTAGACTCTGGTAACCTTCTGGTATGACTAGATGGGCTGATGATACACTTCCTATAAAAATTCTGTTTTTAACTTTTTTCTATTGCCTTCATCTATTTATGACTGGGAATAGCTGCTAATTTAGATTTCCTCATGGAACACAATAAATAATGAGAGATCTCAACAAAAGTCTCTATAAATGTAAATTATATTTTAAAATATAAAAGATTATTTTTCTGAAAACTTGCTATTATCCTTGGAAAGAATTATGTTATTTAGTATCCTTATTGGAGTTAATTATATTAATTATTTGTACTGGATTAACAATGCCAAATGGAAGAAGGTTAATTAATTGAATAAGCATTTTGTTTCATTTCTTTCTGTTTCAGTTGATTTATCTTTAGTGAATAAGGATGAAAATGCCATCTATTTCTTGGGAAATTCTCTTGGCCTTCAACCAAAAATGGTTAAAACATATCTGGAAGAAGAACTAGATAAGTGGGCCAAAATGTAAGTATTATTTCAAAAGCTATCATTTAACATCTCATACAAGAACTTTTTTTTTTCCTCCAAATTTTTATTTAAAGTCAAGTTAGTTAACATGCAGTGCAGTATTGGTTTCTGGTGTGAAATTTAGTGATTCATCACTTAACATTCAGCACCCAGTACTCTTCACAACAAGTGCCCGCCTTAATCCCCATCACCTATTTAACCCATTTCCCCACCCACCTCCTCTCCAACAACTCTCAGTTTGCTCTCTATAGTTAAGAGTCTGTTTCTTGGTTTGCTTTTCTTTTTTTCCTCTGATGTTCATTTGTTTTGTTTCTTAAATTCCACATATGAGTGAAATCATATGATAATTGTTTTTCTCTGATTGACTTATTTTGCTTAGCATACTACTCCCTAGTTCCATTCACATCATTGCAGATGGCAAGATTTCATTCTTTTTGATGGCTGGGTAATATTCCTATATATAGGAATCTTCTTTATCCATTCATCAGTCGATGGACATTTGGGCTCTTGCCATAATTGGCTACTGTTGGTAATGCTGCTATAAACATTGGGTTGCATGTATCCCTTCAAATCATTAGGAACTTTAAAAATCACACTAGGTTGTCTAATACTTGGAGAGGTGTACAATAGGCTCCTAGAAGTTTAGGACATAGAGGAACCTTAAGAATCATGTCATTCAATACTCTCATTTTATTGATAACATAACTGAGGATCAGTAAATAAAGTCATATGGCAAGTTAGTGACAAAGTCAAGAGTAAACTTTCACAATATTAGAAAAAATAAGTCCCTCTTCCAATCTAAATCATATGTAATCATTTTATTTTATTTATTTAATGGCTAATAAGAGAGTTAACATTTAGAATTTAATTCAGTGTTTTCATGAGTTGTTCTTGCTAAACTCTATTACACTAATTTTTATAAATAAGGAAACAAATTTGTTGAGGGGGAGTAAAAGATGAGTGGAGCAGAAGGTACTGCCCTCTCCAGACTGAGTGTGCTTATTGAGAAGATACTCCATTTGGGCTTAGCCAAACAGGTTTGCTCCAACCATGCAAGAATCTGAAATCTTAAATACATTTTTTTCTCCATCTCTTCTGTTCTACTTTTACTCTTCTGCCTAAGAAACCCCCCACACTCCCTGCTTCTCTGGATGCTTACCTTCCTTAATCCCAACCTTCTCAACCATGCTGATGATCTCTCCCTAACTGCCCATTGTATTAATCACCGCTGGGGGATGGGCAGTTTAGAGGTATCTGTTTTCATTAGCTTCATATTCTCAACCATATTATAAATCCCTTTAGGAAAATAACTTAATTTTATGTGCTTTTATCCTTCCTTGGTAGTTACTACTAAAGCTGAAACTAGAAATATTTAAAAAAATACTTTTAACTATTATATATTAATATCACTTTAAATTTTTTTAATATTTAAAATATTAAAAATAAGACACATGAAAAGGTGCTCAACATCACTAATCATCAGGGAAAGGCAAATCAAGACCGCAGTGAGCTATCACCTCATACCTGTCAGAATGGCTAAAATAAAAAACACAAGAAATAACAAGGGTTGCCAAGGATGTGGAGAAAAAGGACCCCTCGTGCACTGATGGTGGGAATGCAAACTGGTGCAGCCACTGTGGAAAACACTATGTATGTTCCTTAAAAAATTAAAAATAGAATTACCATATGATCCAGTAATTCCACTCTTGGTTATTTGCCCAAACAAACAAAAGCACTAATTGGAAAAGATGTATGCACGCCTATGTTTATTGCAGCATTTTGTACAATAGCCAAGATATGGAAGCAACCCATGTGTCCATCCATAGATGGATGGATAGAGAAGATGTGTGTGTGTGTGTGTGTGTGTATTACTCAGCCATAAAAAATGAAATCTTGCCATCTTGCCATCTTGCCATTTGCAACAATGTAGATGGATCTAATAGCACAATGCTAAGTGAAATAAGAGTCAGAGAGAAACAACATATGATTTCACTCATTTGTGGAATTTAAGAAACAAAACAAATGAACAAAGAGGAAAAAAAAAAAGAGACCAAAAAACAAACTCTTAAGAGAATAAACTGATGGTTACCAGAGGGTAAGTGGTGGGGGGATGGGTGAAATAGGTAAAGGGGATTAAGAGTACATTTATCATGATGAACACTGAGTAATGTGTATATTTGTTGCATCACTATATTTTACACCTGAAACAGATGAACTCTGTATGTTAATTATGATTGAATTTTAAAAAAAGAAAAAAATACTAAAAATGAGTAGAAATATTTTTTAAATATATCCTGAATATTAAGATCTGAAAATAGATATGAGGAGGAAGCCAAACCTGAAGGTCAGGAAAAAAATGCAGGAAAATGAAACTAAATCAGATAAGAACTCTGACCAAGACATTTGGCTCTCATTCAAACTCCAAATATCTTCTTCTTTCTTCAGTTTTCATGCCACTGGTCTTCCGTATTGGGAGCAGTACCTCTTTTTAAAGTTTATTTTACACTGACTGTGCTAATGATTACTACCACAGGCATTAGATTACCCTGCAAAGTTCTTAATTTCAGTGGTTAAGAATATAAATTTGCACCTCAATGCAAAAATCATAGAGGTTTATATAATTTATTAAGCCTGTTATAACTGTATCTGCATAAGTTGTATGCATAAATTGAAAAATAAGTATCACCACATTTGGAAGCATTTTGCTTAGCAGGTTTTAGTATTTAAAAAATGAGGGTCATACTTAATAAAAATGGTTAATATTCATTTTTGGCCTTAATATAAAAGAGAGCAGAGAATTAGATTGAATTTGAACTTTAGAGAGTGTCCTTGCCTCTTGGATATTCATTCAGCAAGGCTGTGCATTTTTATCCTTTAGGCATTTAAAAAAGATGCTGCCCTGCTATCCTATTCATCTCTTTGTGATTACCCTAGTTTATTAGACTGGTTGATTATTTTCAAGACTTTAAAGTTATATTCCAGGAAAGTGCCTTTCTGTCATAACACCCTTCTATTGTTGTTAACTTTCAATTTTATATTTTACCTTGTGACAATAGAAAATTACATAATCTTAATGCCTTCTACCGATTTTTCATTAGATGATTCAGAAAAGAGGTGCATATTAATGCTTCAAGCGTGTAAACTACCTTTAAAAGACTTCTGAGAAAAAGATTAGATAGCTAGTTAGCTTTATTTTGTCTTTGCTTAATTTTATTTAGTCTTCTTGCTTTCAATCGTGGTGGCCCAGTCAGCGTCACACCCCCTGTCTCTCTGTTGATGTCAGTGATGTTTGAGAGGCAAGGTCAAAATCGTGTTGTGTTCTGTCCCGCTGCCCATCTTTGATCTCAAAAGTGTTTGTTCACTATTTCTTTGGTCCTAAATAGTTAGCTTAAAATTTTACTCTGGCCTTTTCCAGCTAAGGTTCTGTTGGGAGGAAAACTTTTCCTCTACCAGTTTACAGCCTATTGGTTGAGGGCCTGTGGATTCATCCATAAGAGATAGATTAACAGAAGTTTCTTTCATGGGCATGCAGAAGTACTCTACAAAAAAGTGACTCACTGAATAGCTAGGGGTAAGGGTTTATATACCAGTTTAACCAAAGGGGGCAGTTTTAGGGCTTCAGTAGGAGGTATAGAAAGTTTTATTGGACCTTTTCATTCTGATGATAATGGGCATATCCTTCCTGCCTGGAAGCTCCCCTAGAGGGAGACTGATGGCATCTGAATTTGCACCTCCTGGTGTTGAGTCACCTTCCATCTGTGAGTGGGCTAATGGCAGCTGTATTTTCAGGAGAGTCTCCTTAAGTCAAGGAGCGTTTCTTTCTTTTCTTTTCTTTTTTTTTTTTTAAAGATTTTATTTATTTATTTGAGAGAGAGAGAATGAGAGACAGAGAGCATGAGAGGGAGGAAGGTCAGAGGGAGAAGCAAACTCCCTGCCGAGCAGGGAGCCCGATGCGGGACTCCATCCCGGGACTCCAGGATCATGACCTGAGCCGAAGGCAGTCGCTTAACCAACTGAGCCACCCAGGCGCCCCAAGGAGCGTTTCTTTCTTAGGCTGCTGTTTGTTCACATGCTTTTAGTTTAAAGTAATCTTCTTGCCACTGTGGTGGGCTGTTGGTCCCTTGACTTCCCTTTCTGACTCTTGCTTTTGTTTTTGTACTAAATATCCATGCACATGTTTAGTTCACTTCTAGATCCAGGGCCTCCCATTATTGTGGCGAGTTTTCCTGATTCCCTGTTCGTCTTCACCTTCTCCAGCCCCACTTCTACCCTGCTTCTTAGCTGATACCCAAATCAGGCCAGTGCCTTCCTCTCTTCTTGACCAGTGTAAGATTTCGAGAAGGACTGAGTCAAAGAGAGCTACATAGTTACTAAATACTCTAATGCAAACTGAAATTAGTTGCTTAACAGGAAAAAAATAATATTAGAAATGTATAATCTTAACAGTAACATAAAAATCAGAGTCCTTTGACTAAGTGAGATATTGTTCTGGGATATTGATAACAAGTCTGACTGGCCATCCAAGCCATATAAGGTAGGAAATACCACTTGGCTCATGGCTGTTAATGTCCGTGTCTCTATCTTTTATGTCCTATCACAGACATACTACCTACCTATCTACAAAATAAACCATCACTGGCCATAGGGCAGCCAGATTTTATAATTCATACAGCTACTGACTTTGATTACTTATGCTAGAGGAAAGTCAAGAATAGAGGCATACTTAGAAATATTTTTGGGCCTAAATGATTTCATCTAAAACTTTTAAGTTATTCAAGACAAAGCAATGACAATAAAGCACTTACTTCTGTGGGTTTTAAGTGCTTATTATTGTTATTTTCAACTGTATGTGATTTCCAAAGTAGATTACTTTACTTGGGAGAAGTATATTTGTTTTGGGAAATAACAATATTCAGATATTTATAACATTCTGAAATAGAAAAAATTTGTGGTGATTTGACTCACTTGATATATAATTAATTACCAGCAAAATGGGGCTATAACAATTAGAAACAGCATTGATAGGGGTCTGTGGGTCTGCCAGAATTTTTTTTAGAACATTTAATATTACATATTTATGTATTATAGATTTATTAACGGCCCAGATTATTTAAAGGAAAATAACATGGGCTAATAATCACAGTGGGAACGTTTGGCTAGAAGAGAAAGATATATCCGATATATCCATCCCGAAGAGCATACTGTAAATTGAGAAATGTATATTATGTCCCTAAGATACAACCACAATAGTTTAGGTCTTCTGTGTTGTCATATCTACTCGATAAATGATTTTCTTTCTTTTTCATGGGAGCAAAAATTTGACCCAGTTGTATCTTTATAGGGATTCTTCTAAGACCCATGTGACACTTTAGGTAGGCTTATTTAAGAAGAAAATAGCCCACTGGATTACATATTAGGAACAAACCGTGTGCTTAGCTGGCAGTGACTAACTTGGATGGCAATGTGTGCAAAAAGGGTGCTGGTGAAGCACAAGGGGGAGGCGTGCTCCTGCAGACACTGCAGTCTCATTCAGTTCATGTGTTCCTTTAAAAAAAAAAAAGTTGGGGCGCCTGGGTGGCTCAGGTCATGACCCCAGGGTCCTGGGATTGACTCCCGCCTTAAGCTCCCTGCTCAGAGAGGAGCCTGCTTCTCCCTCTCCCTCTGCCTCTCTCCCTGCTTGTGTGCTCTCCCTCTGTGTCAAATAAATAAATAAAAATATATTTTTTAAAAAAAGTGTATTCTGGGGAGAAAGAAATGCTCCCTCTACCCCTCTTCATTCAACAACTGGACCTATAAAATAAACTGACAACACACAGATTAACAGGAAATAATAATTACTACTTACTAATTATTAATATTATGGGCATGAGGGCATCCCGGGGGGGAAAAAGTGAATACCAAAAAAAAAAAAAAAAAAAAAATCCGTGAAATTTGAGAGCTTATATGTCATCTTAGTAGGGAAAGGGGAGGAGGATGTAGGCCACTTAGGGGAGAATAAATGATTTTTAGGAAGGATGAAAGGCACTTAGAAGAATAGATAGGAGATGTGATAGTTTGTGACAAAGTCTTCTGGTGTGGTGTTGACTTCTAGTCTCCTCTTGTGGGACCAGAGTCAATCTTCTCTGGTTGATGAAATTCCTGGGGAGGGATTGATGATAGTTGAGTTCCTTTGGAGGACCTGTCTTTAGGCAGATGGGGAAGCTCAGAGGAAGCTTGTCCCTACACTTGCTGTTTTTCAGGTGCCTTCAGCTCAAGGTAATCTTTATGCCAAAGAGGTGAATTTTGGTGTGGCATAGTCCGCCGCCCTTCAGTAAGAATAAGAAAGTATGTACATGGTATGACATGTTACAAAGATTTTCCTAACATCTGTGGTGGCTAATCATCAATTGGATCATAGATTAAAAAAAAAAAAAAATGGTGATCTTAAGGATTCTGTGATGTCTTATTTCCTTGGCTGGGGCGGGGGGGGGGAGGGGGCAGGGAGGAGCTTTTTAAAAGCCTGGCTACTTTTTATTTTGTAGGGTGGTTAAAGCAGAGTCCTCTTTCAAAGAGGATCCTCTATTCACTTCCTAATTCGATTTTACATCCTGAAATCTAATTTCATGAGCAGATAGCACTCCGTAGACATATCCGAGCACACCCCACTCGGGGGAATGATGAATGCTGCGGTCCTGAGGGAACTGTCTGCCACGCTCTTTTCCTTTGCAGCACTTGTAAGACAAGATTGCAACTATGCTGCAAGTATTAGTTCTGAATGAGAGCAATGTAATCTTTTTCTTAACTCTGATACATAAGTTTAAAAAGTGCACTGTAATCTACATCAAAGCTTTATAAAGACAGGCCACTTTAGTTTGAATTTATTGGGGTAACAACTTCCTAAATACATTTCACTACCCCAGGCTAATCAACTGACAAAAAGGAAAGAAGCAGACTGTGTGTGTGATATTTTGAAGGTATGGGGAGATGCCAAGAGCATGGCAGGAAGAAACATACTCTTAAAGATTATTACCACGGTGTCTTACCAGAGTGAGAAGTAGGTGGCCTACTATTCTGAGACATAAATTCTCTGAGGCAGAACCTAGAATTTTACTACCTAAATGTAATAAGATGTATTGTGCTATCAGCAAGGCCACGGAGCCCTATGTGATTAAAATAAAAAAGGATCCAAGTATCTGCCTTTAACTACCATTTAATGATAATGATTTTTGTCTTTAGCATTTATATTGGAAGTCAAGAAAGAGGCAAGCTGCCGGCTATCTAATAATAATATGAATAATAATAACTAGCAATTGCCCTTCTCTTCCTCCTTAGTTCTTATCTCTATTTATTCTCAAAGTCCTCTTACCTCATCTCAGTTTATACTGACAAAATATTAGTTTCAAAATTAGTAATCAAAATATTAGTTTAAAAATTGCATTGTACCCCCACATGCCCACGCAGATTTACATTAGGGAACAGTCAGATAAGGGATGCTATGTGCCAGTCTCTTTTACATGTTATCTTATTTATTTTTCACAGCCATCCTTTCAGGTGCATATTGCCACCCATTTACTTTTACTTTTACAGGCTTTATCAGCTTATGATACATGTAGTCTCATAATCAGTGGTGACCTGGAATTGGCTCAGACCAGGCAATGAAAGCCAGTCATTAAATATTAAGGATTTTGGTTGATGCCAGGAAATGGACCACAGGGGATATTCACATCATGAAAATCCACAAAGGCTAAAAACAAGGCTCCTTTCGTCCTGTTAACCCACTGGAGAGAGAAAATAATTTTCCCCAGACCCTTCTGAGTTCTTAGCTGAGACCCCTGTAATAAAAGACAGCTTAGCAAGAGGAAAAAAACCCGCACAAGTTTATTAGCACGTATCGCTCTTGTACGCACAAGAGACACGTGGGTCAAAGGACCTCCCCCTCCCCGCAATGACTTAGAATTCAGGCTTAGGGGCGCCTGGGTGGCTCAGATGGTTGAGCATCTGCCTTCGGCTCAGGTCATGATCTCAGGGTCCTGGGATCGAGTCCCGCATCGGGCTCCCTGCTCCACGGGAAGCCTGCTTCTTCCTCTGCCTCTCTCTCTCTCTCTGTCTCCTTTGAATAAAAAAAAAAAAATCTTAAAAAAAAAAGAATTCAGGCTTAAATCTTATCTTAATAAGAAAAGAGGAGGAGGATGTAGGCCACTTACAGCAGAATAAGTGATTTTTAGGAAAGATGAAGAGCCCTTAGAAGAAGAGATAAAAGTTACCATAGGTTGTGAAAAAGCCCATCTGAGTGTAGTGTTGACTTCTAGTCTCCTCTCCTGTGGCAAGACTCAATCTTCCCGGGTTGATGAAACTGCTGGGGAGGGGATTTATGGCAATTGAGTTCCTTTTGAAAGATCTGTCTTCAGGCAGATAGGGGAGTACAGAGACAGCCTCTCGCTGCGCTTGCTGTTTTTCAAGTGCCTGTAGTTTAAGATAATCAATCTACCACAGTGACATATTTTGGGGTGACATACTCTGCTACCCTTCACCTCTGAGAACAGGTTGACCACTCACTACTGCCAGTTCACTGAATTTCAGAGTATAGGTTCAAGCACAGTTTGCACTATAAAAAAAATACCGGGCTCATTCCTTTCTCCAACTTTAGGGAGTTTGGGGGTTTCTGAGGAATTAAGAACAATTAATTCCTAGCTTCCTGCCACAAGTTTGCAACAGCACATTCAGTCACTCCCGCCTTGATTCTTTGTTTCAGTTTCTTCTTCCATATTTCAAATGTATTTCCTTCCTCATTTAATGGAAACTTCTTGAGAGTGGAAGTTCTCTCACCTCTTTTGTGTTTTGCCATTATGCCTACTGGGATACTTGCTAGAATAATAAAATTGAGCTAGAATATGGGAGATGAAATTGCTAGAAAATAGGTCAAGATGTAATGTTGGCTTTGATTATTGCCAAGTTTATTTATCTACTTAAAATGTCATCATGAATATAGTCACATTTTACACACTTCTGTTTAGTTTACAGATTGTAGCTGTATTTAAAAACTGAATTTGCAATCATTTTAATTTCTAGCCTCAAAAAATAGTAGCTATGTTTTAGTGTAGATATTACTATGTGCTACGGGTATACAAGTAGAATGTTCAAATAGTCTTGAAATTTTCAAAATAGAGAAGAAAAAAACTATCTTAGACTCTAAAATAGAGTAAAATAATGAAGTAGTACATAGGCAATCTCAACTACCCTCCCATAAAATGGAAATTAAAGAAATTAAGAAATGACAAGTTAAAAAATAGAGTTCTCAAGTATTACTTTTGGTTTTAAAGAAGCATGATTTTGTATAATTACTAAAACATTACAAAGATTCATTTAGAAATGTCCAGTTGCTAATGCTGATATATGAAAAATTACGCATGCGCACACATACACACATACAAATCTAATAGTGTCTATGTCCCTTTTCAATTTCAGGGGAGCCTATGGTCATGACTTAGGAAAACGTCCTTGGATTACAGGAGATGAGACTATTGTAGGCCTTATGAATGACATTGTAGGTAAGTACAAAATGGATTTTTCCCAAAAGAATCATAAAGGCATTATCATTTAGATATAAACCTAGATTATAAAGTCAAAATCTTATTGAAGAACACCCTGGTTTTCTATTTTAACCCATTACAGTAAAGAGTGAACATACCGTTAATTGAGACTTGACGGCTATAGCAAACATCACTGGGTTATTTGGCACAAAAATAAAATATTTAATTGTGTTTTCTTGTATATTTTAAGACTAATATGTACTCCCCAATAAAGAACACAGGCATTGTATTTATTTATAATTAAACTAATTTCATAAAAATCAACTCAAATGAATTTTATAACCCTTCATTATATGACAAAATAAACACTAACCTTTACATGCTAAAACCCTAAAACACCAATCAGGTTTTGGCTCATTTCAGTTTAATCCATGGTGACTAATTTTAAATTAAGCTGAGAATTGTTAGAAATAATATGGTTGATGTTGTTCTTTATATTTATATATACGTATTTATAAATATATTTATATATTTATAATGTGTTTCCTAAAGTGAGTTATATACTCCAGGTAGTATTCAAGATAGTTTTAGATGGCAAACGTGTTAACCTTTTGGGAAAAAAAAAAAAAAAAGCTATTTAATTGGGTTGAATATTGAGCATTGCTTAAAATCTTATATGATATTTAGGGTATTGAACAAAAAAATTAATGATGTTTAAGTATTTGGAGTGCTGTTATTTGGAAATATTTAGAGGACTTAGGGAAATCATAACTTTCATAATGCTTTTTCAAACCTCAGTCCTCTACAGGCAAGTATAAACATATCTTTATTGCTTCATCCCAATTGCATCTTGGTCAGTGATCAGAAGACAATATCAACGTGAGCTGGGAGAAAGTGGAATTAGAGTGAGGACAGTAGGATTTACATCCAGAAAGAATTACAGTAATTGACAAACCATGAAAACCTGAGGAATACCTTGTTGATTCAGAAATGATTATTGAACCTCTGCTGTGTGTCTGTCAGCACGTATGGAGTAGGTACTGAGGATACAATAGTAAGTAAAATAGTGAGTCAGAATCGTCACCATCTTTATCCCATGGGATATCCTCATGGGACTCTCATTACAGGAAGATACCCCCCAAAATGTAAAATTAATATATACATATAATCATATAATAAAGAGAAATAAAAAAAAATTGGGATTAGTGCTTCAAAAGAGGTAATTTCCAATTAATGATGAAGGGGACTGAACATAATCATTTAAGTACTCTTTCTTTCTGAATTCTCACTAAACAACTCTTAGTGGAATTTAAAAAGTAAAAGTATAAAAGAACAAACAGAAATGGAGATGATAGCAACATTTTGGGAATTGGATAGCAAGTGGATAAGTGGTAATTGCCTTTGTAACAACAACAAAAAAAAAGGAAACCAAATCTTCACCTCCCAATGGAAAAAAAAAATGGAAAGCCACCTGCTTTACACTGCAGATCCTTTAAAACTTTGGAAATTACGGGGCGCCTGGGCAGCTCAGTCCGTTAGTGGCTGCTTTCAGCTCAGGTCATGATCCTGGGGTCTTGGGATCGAGCCCCACATCTGGCTCCCTGCTCAGCGGAGAGCCTGTTTCTCCCTCTCCATCTGCCTGTCACTCTGCCTACTTGTGCTCTCTCTCTGTCAAATAAATAAATAAAATCTTTAAAAAAAAAAAAACAACTTTGGAAATTACAATAAGCATCTCTAGAAGTGGGAGTAAAATAGGAATAAAAAGAGAGAGAGAGATGTGTGTTGAAAGTCTGTTTAAAATTCAGTTAGAATGCCAGCTCCCTTTCCCCATTCTATGCCACCAGGGGAAATCGTTCTCCCTAGATGATTGGGTGAGTCTCTGAAGAAGGAAGAAGGCTCCCAAGGGAGGATATGTACACTATATTAGTCTGCTCAGGCTGTCATAACAAAATACCACAGACTAGGGGGGCTTGAACAACAGATGTTTGCTCACAGTTCTGGATGGAGGCCAGAAGTCCAACACCCGAGAGTTGTTTTCTGGTTGGACTAGGGCTCTTCCTGGGCTGTACATGGCTTCCTTCTGTGTCTTCACCTGGCCTTTCCTCTGTGCACACTCAGAGACAAAGGGCATTCTGGTGTCTTTCTTCTTTCTTCTTTCTTCTTTTCTTCTTATAAAAGAAAAGTCCTAGTGGATTAAGACCTCACCCTTATGACTTCATTTAACCTTTATTACCTCCTATAGGCCCTATCTCCAAATACAGTCATACTGGGGGTAGGACTTTAACATACAAATTTCAGCTAGACACAGTTTAGTCTATAACATATTCCTTGGTGAAAACAAAAGAATTAAATAAATGTTTATCCACTTCTGTTCTAATTTAGTATCCAGTATCTATGCAGGAAACTTGAACATTCTTCTCTGTGATACTTGGACAACCTAAAGATTCTGACATGGGTTGTCCCAGTATAATGGCTCAGTAGGGTCCCCTTACAGCAAACTCCACCACATGCACAGTGGAAAAACACACTCGGGTGATGTAGCCCAAATTTACCAGACTTTCAAGGAAAATCTGTTTTAGTTCCTATGAACAATAGGAATGTGTTAGCTGTTCAAAAAGTTGAAAAAAAAAAAAATAGAAGGGTTGCAAGCAAAAGCAAGTTCTATTTCCTACTAGCTATTAACTGAGTAATCATTACTCTATATACATTTCTGTTTTATGTGGCTGTATTATACAATCAGAATATTGACTTCTAGTTTAAAATAATAGATGTAGTCTCTCATGGTTCATCTCTCCCTCCGATTTCCCCCCCTTCATTTTTCCCTTCCTTCTCCTAATGTCCTCCATGCTATTCCTTATGTTCCACAAATAAGTGAAACCATATGATAATTGACTTTCTCTGCTTGATTTATTTCACTTAGCATAATCTCCTCCAGTTCCATTCATGTTGATGTAAAAGTTGGGTATTCATCCTTTCTGACGGCTGAGTAATATTCCATTGTATATATGGACCACATCTTTATCCATTTCTGTTGAAGGGCATCTCGGCTCTTTCCACAGTTTGGCTATTGCGGACATTGCTGCTATGAACATTGGGGTGCATATGGCCCTTCTTTTCACTGCATCTGTGTCTTTGGGGTAAATATCCAGTAGTGCAATTGCTGGGTCATAGGGTAGCTCTATTTTTAACTTTTTGAGGAACCTCCACACTGTTTTCCAAAGTGGCTGTACCAACTTGCATTCCCACCAACAGTGTAAGAGGGTTCCCCTTTCTCCACAACCTCTCCAACATTTGTTGTTCCTTTCCCTGTCCATTTTTTCCATTCTAACTGGTGTAAGGTGGTATCTCAAGGTGGTTTTGATTTGAATTTCCCTGATGGCTAATGATAATGAACATTTTTTCATGTGTCTGTTCGCCATTTGTATAACTTCTTCAGAGAAGTGTCTTTTCATGTCTTCTGCCCATTTTTGGACTTGATTATTTGTTTTTTGGGTGTTGAGTTTGAGAACCATGAACCATGAGAGACTATGGACTCTGAGAAACAAACAGGGTTTTAGAGGGGAGGGGGTGGGGGGATGGGTGAGCCGGGTGATGGGTATTAAGGAGGGCACGTACTGCATGGAGCACTGGATGTTATATGAAAACAATGGATCGTGGATCACTACATCAAAAACTAATGATGTATTGTATGGTGACTAACATAACATAATAAAAATAAAATAATAATAATAATAATAAAAATAACAGATTTAAGTACAAGCCAAAAGTGATCCCTTCTATTCCAAACACATAGAGATGATAGGAAAAACATTAGATTAACAAACATACAGCAACACTTAAAAAAAAAAAAATGAATAGAAATCTCTACAGACCAGAAATACTGCCGCTGCTAAAGAAAGGAGCAGTTGGAAGCCTGGAGGCACAGTTTTTTTGGGGGGCAGCACGTGAAGCCAGGCTGAGTGTGCAGAGCCAGAATCCAGACCCTCAAAAGGAGCCCCAGGGTGAATCTGCACAGCTCTGAATGCCTGAGGCTGGGACCCAAGGCCAAAGTATTGGTCGGGCAGGGCAGGTAAAGGTGAAAACCTAACATCTCCTACCAGACTAGTCAGGTTCTTAGGAACACAGAGCCCTTGATCAGGTGTCAGCATTATCTAGAGGACTGTGTATATTTTGATGGAGGAAACTACCACCTGAGTAATCCTGGATTGTATGTAAGGGTGTGTTAAATAGTTGGTGAACAGTGCTTCCATTTATGTTCATTTTTTAGAAGCTAATTATATTCATTCAAATGTCTAACATATAAATAAAAGACCTGGAAAAAAAAAAGACCGGATTAATTTGATCTGAGCATATGTTTTCTTTAGCTGTGGATTGTTTTTTTCCTTACTAGGTTTGCTTTCAGAACATAAACAGCATTCTAATCCTGTTATTTTGTGCTTAATATTTATCATCCTCTAAAAGAGGAGTTAGAATGTTTATATACAGGCCAGGGAAGTGGGAAGGTGATACTATTTTGTGAGATTTATTTATGAAGCCAGTAACCCTGGAAAAAAGAATTCTTTTGACCATTTAAAAGTTTATAGCTCGGGCGCCTGGGTGGCTCAGATGGTTAAGCGTCTGCCTTCAGCTCAGGTCATGATCCCAGGGTCCTGGGATCGAGTCCCGCATCGGGCTCTCTGCTCCTTGGGAGCCTGCTTCTCCCTCTGCCTCTCTCTCTCTCTCTGTCTCTCATGAGTAAATAAATAAAATCTTTAAAAATAATAATAAAAAAATAAAAGTTTATAACTCTATTGCAACTTATTAAATATGCAAGTATTTTATTTGCCCAGCAAATACATCACAACCATCACTGAAATTTCAAACGAGGCATCTCTCATTGTAATTACTATTGAAAATGGGGGAAAAAAAAAACCCACTAGTCAAATTTATTTAGAAAAATAAAAGGATTGAACTTATTAAAAAATTAAAAAGTATATATTTATCAACTCTAGCTTTGGAGATTTTTCCGTGTCTTTGAA